TTTTTTTTTGTGGTTCCCCCTCCCCAACACCCCCCTTTTCTTTATTTTTTTTACATTAGTGTACTTAAGGTGGCTGTGCAAACCAATGTCCTAGGCTTTGGGATGACTAAATTTCCACAGAAGAATAAGAGGGGACATAGTTTCTGTGTTCTATGCCTACTGTTTACACCTTGAAGAAGCCTTAGATGATATTTACTCCGCTCTTGCTCTTCTGGTCTAAAGCAGAAGGAAATCCTACAGGTGTGAGGCATTTTTCCATGACTAGGAATGCAATGGTGCCCTCTTGTGTGAAAGTAATATTTTAGCAGAAGTTAAGCCAGTGCAAAAATTGAAATACTACCTATAAAAATGCTTACAATATACAGATAGTGGTAAAGAAAAAAATTTAAAAAACTGTTAGTTTAGCCATGGTCTAGCAGATATGATAATTAAAAAAACCTACTAGTATAGGTGTGCTCTGCTAGCCTTAACTGTTAGAAATGTGATTCTTTCCTCTTGTGGGTTAACGCTTCCCTAAGGCAGGAATTTTATTATCAAATCCCATCTGTAATGTAGTTCTTTCCAATTCCCTTGCATTCCTAGTGAAGCCAACTAGCTATGCTGGACATGTGAAAGTCTTAGGTACTGGCTTTGCTGAAGTCAATGGTGACTTTCCTACTGATTTCAGTAGAACTTGAGGCTTCACTGTTGCTGCATTCTCCCCCAGGTATCATGTGCACAACGAGATTTCTCTGTCTTTGTGTTTGCATTTTCAGGTGGCATTTTTAGCACCTTCTGCCATGATGCTCCTTCATCTTTATCTTCTATGGTTCTGAAAAGCATGAAGATCTCAACAGTGATGAAATGTGTCCAAGGAAGCCCATGCTCTCTTCATTTAAACATTAAAGGAACTCTGAGTCTGGATGGTAGGAAGCAGATTTGCTACAGAATAACTTCTGTTTACTTTTTGCTTATAGCTGTTCAGCCAAATTTTGTTCCATATTGCAATATTTGTGTCTGAGCCATTTTCATGTAATTATAGCAGAAAGTTTTTGTTTTGTTTTGATTTTGATTTTGTTTTTGTTTTTGTTTTTGTTTTTTTTGTGAAACCATTTTACTGCAAACCAGGATAAAGCCCTGGCCCTTTTCAAGGGAATGAGAACTGAGATAATGAATCCAAGAGAGCTGAGTTTTTACTTCCAACATAATACACTTCACTTGTCCTCTACCAGTACACCAAACATACTGCTGCCCTTTTCTTTCTTGCTCTCACACGTGTGCATGCCCCCCAGTTCTCTCTGTCCTGGTAACTCAGCCATGAGCAACTACCCCAACAGAAGGAGAAACAATTTATGTGTCTGAAGTTACAATTCTACACTAAAATAAAATGAAAGCATTCAAACATTTTGGGGATAGTCTATTTTTATTAATACTTTGCCATTCATGTACTTGGTGTGTTACCACTTAGATATTTCCTGTTGTGCTTTACTCAGAGTTAATAGGTCTATTTTTTCAATTCGCATAAGAATTTGCATAATTAAAGTTTTAATTTCTGGCAATCTGTATTAAATCCTTGCTCCTATTCCCATGTCTATGTTATATACCATGCTGCTTTTTAACAGACAGAAAATATGTGCCTTTCACTTAGAAGAAAAGCTAACAATATGCTGCATTTTGATTTATTTTTTGTTTTTTTTTTTCTTAAAGATGCTCAAATTATATTTTTGAAATGTATTCCTGACTCATTTCAGAGAATATCCGTGGGCTGGAAATATGTTCTTTCTCACTGGACACACAGCAATCTCAGTGCACAACTGTGAGGTTTGCTAGGAAAAAACCCAAGATGCTTAATGGAAAGAAGGTAGACTCTTTTTTTTGGGGTTGTTTACATTTAAATGTTAATGAACCTTTGGAGAAAAAAAGAATTGTATCTCTCTTATTTTCTTTTCTTTTTGATTTTGTGGAAAACTGCAGTGAAATGTATGCTTCATCATTGTTAAATGAAACTCTGTAACAAAATGACCTTTTATAACCTACACATTCAATTCTCCACCATTTTCATGCTTCTCCCACTCACCTTTTTGCAAGGGGAAGCTGCCTCTGAAAAGCCTAATTTTCATATCAACCTCACTAGTTTTCTTTTTGTGCCCACTAAATCGTGGGGAAGCTTCTGTTGGACTCTAATTGCTAGGAAGTACAATGTCACAGGGATTCTTTGTGCATACAGATGATTTATGTAAGTCCAACCTTGACAATGGAATTCACACATCTAGAAGACAGCCAAGTGCCTAAGCACTTGTGCACATCTATCCTAAACTCATGGTAATAATTGCAACAACAAAATACAATTTTTTACTAAACTAAACCTGGAAGTATTTGTTAGTAAAATTTACAACTGGGAAAAACCAAACCAAACCAAACCAAACCAAAAAAGCCCCCACACCCCTCTTCCTTGACAAGCTGTTTAAAAGCCATGAATTTTTTGCTTGCAGTTACTGGTGGACAACTCTTGTTGATCCCATATGAAATGTGTTACTTCATGTGCTTTGTAAATGTTATATTGATTGCACATGTGAAACAAAGTTGTGGCAAACTGCAGCTGCAATTTATTCTCTGTATCAGCTGATGATCAAACATCCCTATAGACAACAGAGGGCCAACAAGGAACAGTTGCTAGCTTTTAGAGTAAGGTAAGTTTATAGGCAAGACTCAATGAACATATCTAAGGACATTTTCTTAGTTTCAGTTCAGTGACTTGATTGATGACATGTCTTTTACCTTCCAAATGTCTTGTACCAAATAAAAGTATATCCAACATGAAAACCTTTATGGAATATAATAGTTACTGCTACCAGTAAGGGAATGGCTTACAATAACCAAACATCAATTTTTTTTTTTAATATTTAAACAAACTTTTTTTTTTTTTAAAATATTCTGCAAGTGTCTTTGCTTGTAAAATGCCTACAAACTGGAACTTTTGGTAGTATGCAAGACCTTTTTGCTTTTGAGATTCAATAAGTGTTGGGTACCTGTATTTCTATGCTTTTAGGATTATTTGATAGCTTGTGGGTATTTTCTGAAAGTGAAGAAGATATCAACATCTTGGATTAGAAGGAATGAAACTCTTTGAAATCCTTTAAGTGGTATCTGTTTCTTTTACATTCTTAGTGCTGCAACATCTTAGACTGCTTATACTACTCATAAATATAAATAAATCTGACCAAAGAATGTCACTTGCCTAACTCTGATAACCATTGCTCTCCATGTATTCTCGAAGCCACGCACAAACTTGATTTTCTAAATGTTTTAAACAGGTGCAGGTACAGTTCAATTGCATTGAAGTCAATGTAGCACAGCACATCTATGTGACCATGAAAACAATACCAAATTACTGTGAAGTCAAGCTGAGTCAGGAGTACTATGTTGAAGGTAGGACAACATCTTAAAGCAGATGTTTTTCAAGAAACATCATCTTAAAGGGAGAAAAAAAACCCAAACAAACAAAAACTTAAAAAAAGACCCCAAATGCATAGCCCACTCATCTTCTGGGATACACTGATCTAACTGATAGTAGGCCACGTGTGCCAGGACCAGTCTTGTTCTACACTTCAATGATTTCTTTTATGCATATAAATGTGTGAGCTGTGATAAAAAACAGAGACTTGAGTTTCTATCTAAGAGTGTGTGAATCTGAACTCCACTGGGCATTGACCTAATTTGCCTTTTGTGCTTGGCACGTGCCCGTTCTCTGCCTGCAGGTTCAGTCCTGTGTGCTCTCTGTGCATAAGCTGGAGCCTCTGCTTATCTTCAGAGCTAGGCCACAGGTGGTTTCAGAGATTGAAGAAAGCTTGTCAAGAAATTTCTTGTCATTTTTACTAGGTTTCTATCACCTGTTTTCTTTTAACTGAATAAGATAAGGTAGCATTTTTTTCCATGTTTTTGAGGTAAAGTGCCAACCATATGCATATACAAATTGATTCACTCTTTCATAGAAGTAAAACCTTTTGGTAGTTAAATCTTTTCATTTTCTTGACAAATCCTGATTCATTACTGAAGTAGACATGTACTTTGTGAATAAAGGGGCAGCAGGGTGAAGCAAGAATAGGGTTTTATAAAGGTGAGTTTTAAGATGCTTTACAAGGGTGAATAAACAAATGAAAATAGGAAATATTTCTCTGAGGAAAAGAACTATATGGTGAAATGACAGCAAAGTGCTGCTCCAGTGCAGGGTTAAGCCAGGAGGGGTGAAAAGAGTAGGTGACATATTATGAGCCAAATTAGTGTTCTTAAATGAGATTTAAGTTTTGGAGATAGAAATATTAGCTGTTAGTTCTGAAAGTATCACCTGGCCTCTAATGTTGATACGCTCCCTGGGAGCTAAATAGGGTGTTTCTTTGTAAGCCTAGAGTAGAGTCAGAATAGCAAAAATGTAGTTTTTTATAACAGAAGAAGTAGCATGTATAACAACAGGAGTAGCTTTCAAAGAAAGAATAAATTAAATTATTTATTTATTATTATTTAAATTATTGTTAGGTACTAGGTAAAGCAGTGCAGTGTTATATCCTAGGTTGCCACCTTAAGCTGCTGCTGAGATTTTCCAGTAGTAACCATACACTAGTGAGATAGCTCCTTAAGGCAAGTTGTGATATAATCTCTGTGTGTGGTAAGGGCACTTTTTTCTGCTGTTTATCTTGAAGTGGATGTAAATCTGCTTTCAGAAGGGTATAAAAGACAGATTTCATGTTGGGAAGCTATTGGATAATTTAGCAGATGATTTACACAGTTCTATGAATGAAGCAGCACTGAAGAAAACCCTGCTTTCTGTTTTGCAGATTGCAGAAACAGTGATGTGGGAAAATACATTCCAGCCTGTTCAGGTGAACTCATCTTCTATACAACCTGAATCTGTGAGATATATCTGGTGACCTGTACAATGATATGTTTTCATAACTGAATAAGCAGGGAAAATAAATTATGATTTACAACTACTATTACTTATAATCACAATCTAGTTGATAGGTAATGTCCTAGAAAATATGCTTCTTTACATTGACATGGAAATGCTAAGTAACAGATAAAGATATTGACAATTTATGTAATACCTAAACTTTTGGAATGGGTTTGTGTCCTTTTCATGCAATTTGGACGGTTGGTTTTATATCTTGTCTGTAGACAGACCTCATAAATAGATTGAAATTAATTTGCCAAACTGCTATCCTGATTTTGGCACACCTATAAACATACATCCCCCCCATCCTCTACATATTGTATTTGTCTAACATAGTTGCACATATTCTCTGTGGAATGAATTTGGAGCCTTGGGATAGTCAGCTTTTTTAGTAGTATTAGTGTGTATATCTCAAGTATTTGTACATGAACTACATTTCAAGTACTAAGGTACAATTGGTAGGTAGCATGGACTCTCAGTATTGCCAGTGCTAATTTTAAACTATAATATTGAAATTTATCCTCATAAAAACGATCATATCTTATAAAATAAGAATATCTGTAGGAATATCAAGATAAAGAAAGAATTAATTCAAAATCAGATATGATAATTTCATGCTTGAATTTTCTTTTTCAGCTGGAAAGTTTGAATATAATGTGGACAGGGCAAGGAAAATGATATCAGTGAATGTATCCAACTTTCTTCAAGATCAGGATTATTATATTCGCCTGTGCCACAAATGGTTTACCTGTGAAGATGTGGGGGCATTTGCTGTGGTGAGTTAAAGCTAAAAGCAGTTTGTTGAACTGGTGTGGGGTGACTTATAGATGGAAATGCTCATTGAGGTCATCCTTATAGTAAATGCCCTTCTATATCTGTATTTAGCTTTATTAAAAGTCACTTAATGTTCTGGATTCATGACCATCTTTTTCATTTCAGATAAAAGGGAAGGAATCTTTAAAATCAGTTTCTCTGAAATATTCTCAGCTACTCCCTTGCCTTTGCATTGAGGTAATGCAGCCTAGAATTTGGTATATACTTGTGTTTCTGGTTAAAGAAACTTTATCTGGGATTTATGCTAAGAAAGGAGGAAAAATCTATAGAAAAAGGACCTAGACTTAAGTTTCTGACTAAGGTTTGTCTGACATTATGATTATGTAAATGTAGAAGAGATTTTTTTTTTTTTTTAGGAAGCACTAATTAAAACATGGAGATAAAAAGAAAATGGGATACAATGTACAAAAATATATGGAAAGCATTTAGTAAGATTATTTTGACTTTTTATAAGCAATGAAAATTCAGAAAAATTGTTATGCTGAAATTCAGTCACATTATTTGATATAGTGTTGCATAAGAAATTAAAAGATGGATTGAGGAAGCTGGAGGTGTCAACAAGATTTGTATGGTAGATAACACATACCTGGAGGGCTAACTCAGCTGCTGTTGAATGGGGCTGTGCTAGTAGGAAGGTTATCTGAGGATCACACTTAGAGAAGTTCTTATATAAATATTTTCATCAATGACATGGGCACAAAAGGTGGGAACGTGTTAATGAGACTTGCTGATGATATAGTTGAGAGGTGTAATCAAAATGGAAGAGGGTCAGGATAACTGGAAGAGACAAGTTCTTCATACATGAAATAACTAAAGGAGGATGAAGTGCAAGTTCATGCCTTTGCTTTGATAAAAATAATTCTTGCTGTAGGATGTGAGCCTTCACTTAGAAATAACAGAGGAGGAAAAAAGATCTGGGTGTAATAGTTCATTGGAGGATAATTAAGCTAACATGCTTACATGATGTAAATGTGAACAAAGTTGTAGTAGGTTAGATTATCCCAAGGGAAGTATGGGCCAGGCCTTCTTTGAAGTAGGGTAGGAAGTTCTTGTATCCATATTCCAGAAAGATTAAATCGAATGGAAGATATAAATTAAAAAAAAATAGAATGGTGGGGGAATGGAGAGATTGTCATATAAAGGAGATTCAAAGAGCATGTTTTCATTAGTCTGGTAAAACACATGAGAAGAGAAAATATGTGTTGTTTAAATACACATCAGAAGGGTCAGTCATAAGGAAAGATAACAGATTTTTTTTAAGCTAAAGCCATTCTTGCCAACAGAATGAAGAGGGATAAACTGAATTCCATGAATATATCCAGGATAGCTACAGATTTTTTTTTCTGATAATCTGAGAAACTGGATTTTGGAATATGTTTCATAAAAAGAAATAAAACCTCACCAAACCAATGTAATATGTTCTTGGTAAGATATAAGAACGCTAGGTGACCTAGTTTCTCAGTGAATTTTGGGGTAGGATTTACCATGCGGATTAAGATATTATGATTCTTGAATGTGTCACTCCTAGAAAGTAATGACACTGGAGGAAACTTAACAAAAATCAAACTGGAAGACTTTCTATTTTAAGTTTGGCTAAATATATACAACTCAGAAATAGTAGGAATATAGTGCTAGAAGGGATCACCATCTCCAGTCCTCCTAATGATGAACAGTAATCTAGGGATCTAGTACACAACATCCTTCAAAAAACCTGCTTCCAAAACTTTCTAATGAAAGACATCTTTATCTCTGATGGAAGGGTTTTCTGTCCCCTTTTGTCTTCTGAAATGTTAAAAATGGCACTATCTGAGAATCTCTAACTAATGGACACTTTTTTTGGGTTGTAGGGTTGGCTGGCAGTTCCAGATGCAAGGAGGGTACAACTTTGCCCCTTTGAAAATGGCAAGTATTGTGTGATTACTCTTCATATGAGTGATTTTCAGTAGCTCCATCAGTATATCACAATTTGAAATTCATCTAAGGTGAAAACCATACATTGCAGAACTTCAAGGAAATCGTCATATTGTTTTGTTATACTGTGGGTAGACAACATAACTTACTTTCAGACCAAATTGTTCACCAAATTTATGCCAATATAAACACTAAGTAACTTTGTAGTCATTTCCCACATTCTGGTAAGTCACACACAAACTGGCCAGAAGGAAGAAAAACCACCAACATTGGCTTTGAAATGCTGATGTGAGAAGAGGTCTTCAAGGAGATTTGAAGGTATCTGATACCCCACTTAGAGGAGGAAAAAGGGAGTTGAAAAAGAAAACAATTAACTGCATATGAGACTTCCCATACTTAACAGGAAATTACTCTCACAAAGTGTTCCAGCAAAGTCAGTTTGGTCTGAGATAACAACTGAAAGAGAAACTGTCATATTACACAGGTCTTCAGTGAAAGTTTTACCAGGAATACAGAAAAAAAGTATAGCCTGAAAATGTGTTTTATTTTGTTATGCCCAACACAAGTACAATGATATTTATCCTCAGACTATGCTAAGAAGCCCATTAAGGGATTTTAGTATCAGATTTAAAAAAACCCTAAATATCATCAAGAATAAAACCACCAACCCTTAACAGCATATCCAAACCCCATTAAGCTGCACAGACATTCACTGTGATCCTTTCACATTCTTGCAGGGCTGATACATTTGTGTTAAAAAGGAAGCAAGTTCCTCTTTAGCCCAGCCTTCATTTCTGACTTATTTTATTGTGGCAGAACATAACGTTTGTGACACTACCATCCCCTTGCAGCAATCGAGTGCATTTTGACTAAATAAAAAGGGATTTTTTGCTCACTCTGTTTATGCAATAGAGAGTGTTTATAGGAATGCTCAGGCTCAGTATGTAGCTGTGTCTATGTCATGTAGTCAGATCTGGCTTTAAGGTCATCATGCTGCAGATGGCCAACTGACTTTGCTTTGAAGTTCAGAAAGAAACAGCTCTGTGTAATAACTCTTTGGGGTTATTGTAACTAGGAGGAGGAAAAAAGGAAAAATGAATGTCTATTGGTTATTAAACAATGTAACTATGTGAGGCTGAAGATGAATGAGCATCTTTATTATGATGTAAGTAAGTAGATGCCACAAAGGAGTAAATCAGAAGGAAGCTCAAGTAATAATGAGCAAGTCAGGAAACAAACTTGAGAAGGCTTAATTGTTGTGCTATTCTCTTAAGTATTAGCATTACACTTCTATTATACCTACATTATTACAGATTCCTACAACATTTAAAACATAGCTGTGAAAACAGTCAGAACTATTGGGATCCAGGACTTTGCAGTCAGGTGAAATATTCTCTAAACATTAGCTTTATAGTGCCTGTCTATTTATTAAACCCAACATTTATTTTTATTTTTTTTTTATAGAATCAAAATTTCTATCAGTTTTTAAAAATCCAGAATAAAACAGTTCCACTTCATAGAAAGTTTCAGTATTTTGATGTATACATGTTGGTACACAAAATTAAGACAGCAAGAGGCTTGGCAGAATAAAAGAGTATAGAAGGTTTTTATTAGAAAATATCAAAAGGTTTTATTTCAAGATATTTCTGAGAGACAGAATACCAAAATGACTTGTAGTTATGCTTAATAGGAGTTAAGTTTTGACACCTGGTGTTTCCACTCCTTGATGTAGACTGTGCTTCTTCACTTTGCAACATTTTCTAGTCATGGGTGTTGTTTGTTCCCTTGTCTTGAACATCCAGCTGGCCACATTTTCAAGTTTTGCTTCACTAATAGTTGCAGAAATAAATTTTTCTCATACTTCTCACTATTAGGCAAATGTAAAACTTTCCAAATTACTTCATGAAGTATATCATTTTGAGTTTTATGCAGGAAATTCTTTCATCAATGTGCTACTAAATGGAAAATAAAGTCACTACAGTGACTAATTTGACCAATCAAATAAATTAGAGAGATTTTATTTTATAATAGTGCCTCTTTAAGATATTTTCAAATAGATGTTGACTAGCTTTGAAATTAGTGTGCCTGGAACACATAGAAAGAAAATTCATACAAATGCTGTAGAATTACTTACTGCTAATTACTTGCACAGCTTTGTTCACTATTGGAGTTATTGCTATTCAGCTAAAGTCTTGAATTTATCTTCTCACATATATGTTGTGTGTATGTAAGTCACACACACAAGACACAGAGTCTGAGTCTCCAACACTATGACTTCTAGTTACTAATGTATGGATTCATTCCAGTTTACAATACAAAGTTAACTGAAGGTCCTTGGTTAGGAATTTGCTTGTGATTGATGGGCATAGAATGCACTTCCAGGGCAGCCTACTTAAGAGCTGAGGAGGCCTCATTCCGTGGTGGTGCCTTTCTATCACCATAATGGAGGCTGGTAAGACTAAGCTCTCATGTAAACCTCTGGTAAACGCCAACACATCGGTGGGATGAATTTAAGGTTTACCCACTGGTGGTGCCTTTCTATCACCATGATGGAGGCTGGTAAGACTAAGCTCTCAGGTTGAGAACCTCTGGTAAACGCCAACACGTCGGTGGGATGAATTTAAGGTTTACCCAGTATACAATGTGAAACACTGCAGTTCTGATAGATGAAAATGACAAGGAAATGGAAAAGTCATGCTTTTGGTTTTCAGCACATGCATAGGTACCAGATTTATGAACATTTTTGATTAATTTATAGACATCTTGAATAACGTTTCCACTCTTTGTGCACAGATACGAAGGTGCTATGGGACAATATCGTTTACAACCCAGCAACACAAAGCCTAGCTTGGGAGCCAGCCTGTCCTGTGCTTGTCGTGGTTAACCTATGCAGGTTAATGAAGTCTAACGACTACTGTGAGGATATAGAAAACTCTTCCAAAAATTCTTCTGAGAAAGTAAGAGCTATGCAGATTTATTCAAACTGTGAGATTGAATGCCATGACCACAGGCATAATGGGGAGCTAGACTTTGGAATGAAAGCAGTTGCAAATTCTTCTTTGATACTTAAAACTATTCATAGTCACAGTCTGTTCTTGTACACTAACCACATGATTTATTTGAAGAGCTCATATTGACTGACTCACTATGAAGAAATAAAAAGTGGAGATGACTGTGAAGCTAGTAATGTTTGCTAAATTCTTTGGTGCAAATAGGGTCTGCTTTTCATTTATAGTAAAGGCATGATTCATCTGCCCTAACTTTGCTGTCTAAAAGATAGGTGTTCAGGTCCATGCAACTCCTCTTAAATTCCCTTTAAAGTGTGTAAATGAAACTGACATATTAAGAAGACAACTCTTCTTGTCTGAAGATAGGCATGTAAGAAAGGTTGGAAGGACTTCTCTGTGAAGGTAACTCTTCACTGACTCTGACAAGAGTCCATTGTGCTTAAATCATATTTGGATATTCTACATTTAAGCACCTAAAATGTGAGACGAAGCTAAATCTCTTTAAATCTTGGTGGAGATGTAACTGTACATTGGTAGGGCATAATTGTTTTGTACTCTGTTCAGATCTCTTTGAAGTGCCTTCCTCAAACTGGTCAAATGTCTTGAAATTCTGTGTATTGAAATAACAGGTTCCTCACTTCTTCCAGCACTTATGTTCTAAAGTTGAAAAGAGTTTTTCCCTGCATGTGTCTTGAACTGCTTAATACTTCAATCTGAAGTCCCATGATGCTGAATGCACTGGATTTATGAGCTTGGTTAGAATTCTGGCTTTCACCTTGAAAAGCAGAATTTTGGGCTTTCCTGATTGTGGAGAGAAGGCAATAAACTTGAGATGACAACCAAAAAAGCATATAAAATAACATATAAATTGTTGAAACTTTATGAGTATTATTATGACATTATTGGCAGGGGGGCTGACTGAAAAGTGTTGAATGCTTTTTTGATTAGGAAGTCTTGGCCAAGCATTTAGTGATTGTTCAGATGCACGATTTTATTGTTTTCAACAAGGTTTTGGTCTCTAAATTTATTTAATTTTATGCATGAGAGTTGTCCCTGTGGAATTTGTCATTTGCTGACAAGTACAACTCATTGCTTGCAGGAAAAAAAAAAGAAAAAGCCTAAAATGAGGTTTAACTGGTAATGGTCGTATCTATTACCCAGAACACAATCCAAGATTAGTTTATTACAGGTGATGAATATTTTTCTGTATTTATTAATATACATGGACAGGATTAATTCCCTCCCACCTTTTTTTTTTTTTTTTTTTAATTCATCCTAAAAGGTTTGATAGTGACTTTGGTCCATTTCTTGCACTGTAACCCTGAAGAACATCTGTATTGTGTGCTGGAGACTACTGCAGAGATTCCTCACATAGTGCCAGCTCCCCAAGTAAATCCACACAATGCTGCACACTCTAATACCATGCAGATGTAGTGACTTGGGCCCTAAAGCTACATAACTCTTCTCTATAATTAGGGTGAGGCTTTCTCTGTGGATGGCAATGCTGTCTCCATATTTGAGTGGACTCTGACAGAACTATCTTCTGTGACCCTACTGTAGACATACCTGAGGACATTCATTACATTCATCTCAAAAAAATTACAGGAGAGAGGTGTTTGGTCCTGATGCCATGTGTTGTGTATAGAGTCCGTTGTGCTCAGTTCCTTGAGCAAGAGTGGTTACTGAAGTAAGATCATTTACATGGGTAGCAGCCCATGGTAAAGCCCTTGGTGGACAAACAGCTGTTAATCAAGAAAGCAATGTTTTGTAGGTCACTTAAGTGGATATTTGGAGTCCAGTCTATAGGTGTCTTCTTTTCTGGAATCAGGATATGGAAAATTGAAAAATTTCTGAGTGAAAGGTGGAACAACACTTTTGGGTAGATGTTTAAATGTTCTGCTGAAATCATTGCATGGTAAACGACCATGACCAACAACTAACTGCTCAGTCATTGCTGAGTCGTTGAATGGTGGATAAGGGACTGAAAAGGGACAACTGTGTAATCAGAATTTTGCACAGAAGCCACCATAGAATCAATTTCTTTAGCTGTAATGGGTCAGACCAACTATAAAAAATGCTACTTGTTACAGATAAAAATAAGCAAATTTTTGAGTAATCCAAAGTAGTGGCTGTTTCTATACTTACTATTTTATGTGATTAAGTTCCTGCCTTGTTTATAAAGTAAACAAACCAGTTCCTTTCTCAGTAATCAAACCATGAAATTTTAGGGTAATTGACTTCGTGACACTGGCTAATGCTGAGTGCTCTTTTTCAAGCAGGTTAAATATTCTCGTGTGGACACTCACCCGAGACTTTGCATGAAGGTAAAGGGATTTCTTTGTAAAACACCTATTAACTGTCAGCTCTCAAAAATGATTTGCTATTGTTCTGTAGGATCAATATTTTGTCTGATGAATGGGAAGTAAGAATGAAGGAAATGTGAAAGATTAGATTAAAAGGAGGTTCTTTCTAAGTACATCAGCAATGATATGGGTCACATTGTGCCCTCTATGTTCTCTGCTTATGAAAAGCAGGGAGAAAGATGGTTTTAGGTAAATGCAAACTCTGAAGCATGCACTAAACTTACCATATGAAGTTTTTCATATTAAATATTTGGTAATAAAAACGATTGATACACTACACTTACTGGAGTATCTTTTATTATTCTAGTTGAGGAAAGATTGCCACATGAAGTTAATATAGGCACATTATTGTTTTCTTTTAAATTACTTTTAAGTCAGTGGAACTACATGTTTTTTGTAAAATAGGCATGTGCATAAATATCTGAAGAACTGGGGAATCTAATTCAAATCAAGGGTTGGAAGATACCATTTACCAGGAAAGCTGTGAATTCACTTTCTTTAGCTTTCTGGAATGCACAGACAACCTCCAGTTGAATCTGTAGCCAGAGATTAGATTGAAAAATCACTTCTTTCTGACAGAATTCTCTGGTTTCAGTTTACAACCAAGCAAGGCTCTTGGGTTAAGTGTCCATTTGCTCATGGAGAATTTCCAGGTAAATATATATATATTTTTTTTTTTAAATTATATAATGTCAAAATATGTATATCAGTAGTTAGATATGAGCCTTCTCCAGTAAGTGAGATGTATTCATCTCACTGTATCTTGTAAATTATGGCAAAGAGATGTGTCAGTTTGCTACTTCTACGTATCCCCATCAAATCAAGAGTTTATCAGTATAAAAATTAACCTGTGGGGATCAAAATAATTACTTGCATATCATTTGATAGCACTTCAATTAAAAAGTAATTTATTTTAAATATAACAATTTAGACTATGATGCATAGTCCTTGTACATCTAAAAGTAAGTCTTTTCCCCTGATACCAGCTTGGAAAATGAGAGCTGGTGCAGCCGCAGAACAAATCCGAGTTTTCTTCACATCTCAAACCAAGGCCCAGTTCTCAGTGCTTGTGTGCAACAGGACCCAGCTGGCCACGTGCCAATCTGTGGGGATGCACCATTCAGTCTCTGGGGTTTGTATCTATTATTTCTTAAACATTAGTAAAACTCTTAAATGTATCTAACTGCATTCCATGTGTCATTCTGCAGCTTGAAAGCATTAAAAGACCCAGGCGTACACACATCGAAACAATTACTGGAACACTTTTAAAACATGTAGTTCTAATTCTGATCTCACACTGAAGCAAGAAATAAATAAGGATCCTGAAGTCAAATGAGTCACCTCAAAGGAAGTAACTATTGATTGGAACCTGAACATTCTTTTAACATCATTTTTGTTGTGTAATATGTCTATACTGTATACAGCAAATGGTAGTGTTAGTGTGCCATATATGGGTCACTGAGACAGCTGACTTGGCCAATCTCACGTCAGGAAATTTAAAACTTGAGGCATAAATCTGTTACAATCTTTTAGCCACACTAAATCTCACAGCTGCCAAAACAAACTCAACACACAAAAAAGGTAAAATTTCAGCCAAATCAGCTTTTTGAGCTGGCTGGCTGTGTGACTACACAACTGCCTCTTCCAGGAAAGTGGGGGGGAGAGAGGGAAAAGATTGTAGCAGGGTGTGACTTCTGTTTCAGGAAGCAGCTAGTCATGAAATTGGAGACTCATTCCTCTCTTGTAACTAGGCTTGCATCTCATACATTTTCAGTGCAGCACTGTGGCTTGCCCTTGCCTGTCAGCACTGCCTATCAGTTACCTGGCTGACCTGACTTGTGACCTGTTGAGAGGCACATCTGGAAAGTGGGTCAAAGAGCAGAAGAGTGGCATAATATAGAATAGCATTATTTTTCAAATAGGAGACTATTAGCAGGATAGATCCTAGGAGCTACTAGGATCTAGTGGTCCTAGGACCACCATGATGCAAGGCATCCTGCTGGTTCAAGTTCTTCAGTGGTCTTATGTCCACCCCTAAATGTGTGCTCCTGCTTTCTGGTCCACTGACCATATATATAAGATGTCATATTATGGATTTTGAGAAAGCTGAGAAACCCATATATTGTGACTTATACTGTTATTCCTGACCCTGCCCACTGACCATTCTCTGCTATAGGGGGATGTGCTTTAGAAGACACGAGCATGCTGCAACTCCTAAACCTATTCTCTTTTTAGGATATATTCCAGATACACTTCTTCCTTTGCCACAGTATGCAGGTTCATGCTGCAACTGTTAATTTTTCAAGTACATCAGATGCTTTCAATGTGCAGGGTGCACATACTAGGGGGTAGCTGGCAATCAAGCAGTTACAAATGACTTTTTTAACTCAAAGGGATGGACACTGAAAGATGAATTTATTTTCTAGTGAATCACTTTAGGTCTTTATTACATCCCTGGTGATGAATATAGGAGAGCTGCTTTCCTGCTCAAGCTGAGGATATGCTTAAGTGGAATATGGTAACTCTTCCTGCAGAAGATCCCAGAACTGAATAATCATGGGGAAAGGTGTAGGAAAACAAAACAAAACAAAACAATAAAACCAACCTACCATAATCAATAGAGACCACAGAGGGCATTGGTGGTGTTATCAATAGTCTGCCCTAATGGGGCAAGGTCCCTGGGAAATCCTGTAGTCCTGGCAGAGATGGAAATCTGTACAGTAAAAGAGTTGTCGAACAGTACGTTTAGTGAACACTTACAGTATCACTTCCCTTAAACTGGTTTATTTCACACGTACTCTGTGGAGTTTAGATTTCTGTTTTACAAGGTTCTCTGCATAAATTGCTAAGTAATGGTGGAGCACCAATAGATCACAGCTGGGTATTGAAGTGTGTGTTTCATGAAGGGCACCGATGCATTTAAAAATGCTGTTTTCTTCCCTCTGGTACAAAGCTGTTATGTCCTTTGCTACTACAACAGTATGGGAGCCTGCGTAAATTACATACAGTTCCTGTGTCAACACCACGAGCAACATACACAAAAGTTTTCACCAGGACTTAGCTCTGTGTTCCTAGAAACCAGCATCCATTTTCTACATAGTAATCTCTGTTCAGTCATATTCAAAAAAGAACATATTCACCTAATTTACCCCAAATTATTTTAGGACTTTGCCACACTAAAGATAATAGTGTAGGATTCATGGCTATTAGTGGAGTCCCTAACATTATTTTAAGGACAAACCATAAACAATCAAACATTAAGTGTCACTACAGTACTTTAGGACAATTTTACCCTAAGGCTGAAGTTGTTCTTGGCATATGATGTGATGGGAAATCCATAAAAACTGTAAAGAAAGGGTTATTCCCTCACTCATATACACCAGGGAAAAGATGCTCATGGGCTAATGTGGTGTGAACAGCCATGGTGGGCAGGGTGGGGGCTCACACCATAAAATGCAGGAATATTTGTGTTCTTGTGCTGCCCAAATTGTGCTTGGCAAAACTACAGCAGTCGCATATGATGATTGAGATCAGGAATATCTCTGAGAATAAATAACCTTCCATAATGAAGATACACTTAATTAATAATTTATAAGCAATAGTGTTAATATAATTAATATTATTAATAAAAATAATTGTTTCTTAATAATGTATTTATTAATATATTCTTGGTTGGTGTATGAATCAAAGAGCTGGAGAGTCACAACACATTTTCATCGTTTCAAGGAGATAGAAAATAATAGTTTTCAATTGTTTTCTTTTCATTAGGGAGATTCTATATCAATCACTATGTCACGGGAAATGTGTGAGTCAACAATTTGCATTCAGGTATGAGTTTTGATTTCGCCAGGTACTCTGTACAAAATAAACATATCATAACAATAATAATAACAGAAATAAAACCCCGAACAGGCACTCTCATTGCTTTCTTCTCCCAGCCAAATCCGAATATCATGCAAAAGGAGTTGACAGAGTATTACTTATAGCTTGATGTACTGTCACCACCTCTTGTCGAGATGACATTAATTAACAGAGAAGTTGCTCCTGTGATCTTGTTCCTTTGTCAGTGGCAGATAAAAGGATATCATCAGGAAATTGTTAATCCTGCTTTCATATGTTCCTTTGAACAAAGTTCCAAGGTATCAAAATAAATTGATGAATTTTTCCAAACCTGACATTAGCTGGAAAAGGTCGGGCATATTGCAAACAGCACAGTAAGTGCATAGTATGCTTGAATTTGCACTCCTGAGTGCAGAGCTGAGCAAATTTTGTGAAGACACAAATTTAACAGAAGATGAGCGTGAAGCTGGTTGGTTTATTGCTCTCTGGGGTTAATGTTCAGAGCAGAAACTGGGATGAGAAAGACTGACAGCTGGAGCTGTGAGGCTCCAGCAGCTGCCCTGGAAGGCACTTCTGAGCTTCACTTTCTCCTGCTAGGAAGAAAGGGACAAGATGAAAGTGAGATTGGCAAGTGCCTTCTGGGTAATGAGAGTTGTAAATCAGATTTGATGGTAAAACTTATGTTTACCTGCATAAATAGTTTATTTTGTAAATAAGACTGTCTGTCAGAATACAGTTCTCACCCACTCCCCCAAAATAATCTGATTCACTTTATTATTTGGAAACCTATAAAGGATTGTAACTCACTAAATATGCACTAGACCAGCAGTCTCCATATGTATTTATTTTAAAACAGATTTTAAAATGCAGTCATTTGAGTAAACTAATAAAGCAGTCTCATTTTGTCAACACAAGTGTTTAGTAACAGTTCTGCTGAAAGGAGAATAAATTTCAATTCTTTCCCTTAAAAGGGCTGGAGGACAGATGTAGATTATTCAGTTCCACTGCAGATCTGTGATATCCACTGTGGTAAGTATGAATGTCAACAAAAAAAGTACTAGGTTCTGGCTGTATAGAAGAGAATGACTCAGGTGGAGTGTGTTTCCACTGGGAAACTGAAGTGGGATTCATCTGACTAAATGTGGATGTCTGCACGTGGGCTGGATATGCTCAGCTTCCTGTATAGACAACGGACTCAGGTACCTCAACTAGCTTTTCATTAGCTGCTGCAAGGGCAGCTTGTATGGCTGCCTTTTCCCTCTGCTTCCTGGGTGAATTTTCCATCCTGTGCCAGGCTCTGCATGCCACACCTATATTTACCTTGCTGCCAGTACATGAGGTAACTAGTTCAAAACAGTCTTTGACGAGTCGGCAGACAGGGCTGTCATTGCAGTGTCTGCAGCGCAGCCCTGCTGTTCATTCCCCACCTCTGCAATGGGACAGTTTTACCTCCCTCCACTGCACAAGTACAGTGAGAATATTACTAGGATTTGAGGTACACTCAGATATGGAGGCAGAATATTGTGAAATCTCCAAGTCCTGAAAGTGAGGTGTGGTAGAAGTTAACGAGTTCGGGGCGGACTCAGACTGCAGGGTTTCTGGTGAAGAGTGCAGACGTGCATTGACTAAAAATAAAACATCTAAAAGGAGTCAAGGCAAGAGAAGGTTCAATCTGAGCATTGCCAAAAACACCTCCACAAACCCAACCGACCAACCTCTCCTCCCAAGTTCATTGTAAACATTGTGACTCCTATGACAGATTTTCTCTGTTGTCTAGAAATACATGCCGGTTAACTATAGCTTCAGATTTGGAAGCCTGATACAAAAAGGAGAGGGCTTGAACTTGTAGTCTAAATGTAGCTCTCTGTGCAAGCACTTGCATAATGCTAGTTAAGGTTTCTTCTCCACTTAAAAACTCATAACAAGCCCACTCAAGTTGAATCAGTTAAATAATCAGAGTGTTGTCATTCATGTAGTCTGGATGCATTTTCCTTATTCATATTTTCCTTTTAACAAATGCGAAGAGTATGACTAAGGCATGTAAAATAATGAAAGGCTCCAGAGGCAGCAGCCTGGGAATTCCCCTTTAATTTATAGTACGAGAGAATGGGTCTGTATATTAAATGAAAATAGTGGAAAAAACCCAAAAAATTACTAAAGAACTTTTGGGGCATATTACTTGATTTAAATGTGAAACTTCTTGTCACGAGTTTTTGGTCTGATCAAGAATTTGTGGAGATTCAGGAAAAAAATAGGAGAAACTGTGCACATATCAAGAATATCAAAGCTATAATATGTGATCATCATATTTGTTGTATAGAGGAGACTACCTCATGCTTCATGGATTCTGCCTTGCTTTATATTTTTGGGATAATGCAGTCCACATTAGCAAGTGGATAATTCCATCTCTGTCAGGGAGGGTTTCCTAAAACCTCCCTCTAAGTCATCTGGTACAAGTCATTGTCAGAACTGGGACATGGAACTATGTAGATCCTACTCATTGCTGTAATTCCTATGTTCTTAATGACTTGTCAAGAGCCATCATGTGAAAGATATTTTTAATGTAACAGTAATAGCATTACTATTAAGGACTTCCATTTTCTTAAATGCTTATTTTCTCTGACAAAGGTATTTTCTCAAGCACTAGCTTTTTAAAATCAGGAGGTGATGGAAGTTTCTTACAGGTGGTATCAACAAGGGTGTTAATTCTTACACTGGGATGCTATTGTGTTTGAATCCAAGATGTTAATAAAAACAATCCACATAAAGGTGAAGGAAATATTAAACCTAAGATTCTTCCATAATTTATGAGAGTTTGGATTATACATAAATGTCAAAGTAAATGGGAAATGATCTTATATCATAGTGGATATAATGGCATAGTGGAAAAAATGTAAATATTTACTGCATACATCTTTTTAAAATAGACATTTACATTGTTAAATATTGCTGTTAAAGTTATCAAACAGCCTTAGTGTGTCTGAAGGCACCACGGTGTTATTAACATGTGTTTTGTTACTCAAGACCAAGATTCCAGTGATGACAGTACTTATTATTAAAAAAAAAAATGAAAAGAAATCAGTGTAGCTAACCATCATGAAGGCTGCTCTCTTCCCAGCTGCAAGGAGAGTTTTCTGGCATGTAGAATGAATTATACTGCAATTCATTGCACTAACCCAAATCAGTTAATGTGAGAATAAATATGTTACTCATAATGAAAATAAAATGGCAACCCTCATATAAACTTTTTTCTTCAGGTTTTCGTGGTCAGAGATATGGTGATGGAAACCCTGCAAAGGCCATGACACACAGGTATCCATCCAACATATAGTTTAAAACATCTTTTAGTGTTGATAGAGTTGTTTATCCTGAAAATGTATCATTGGTCTCTGTAAAGAACAGAAGTAACATCTGAATGCATTTTGTACTAACCAGCAAGAATATCAGGTTCCTATCTCTTCCCTTTTCTTGTCCCTACAGAAGACATCTCTTGCTCCTGGGCTCTGTCTCCTCTTGCTCTCTCTCTGTTGCACCACAGTGCAGTCTGGCATCAGCGGTAGCTGCCTTGTTGACAGAGAGAGGGAGGGAGGACAAAGGGAGACAAATAACCAGTGCAAGTGAGAAGTTTGGAAAGTAACAAGACAACTCTCAAGAGCCCTAGAACAATCTCAGATTTGCTGCACATGACATTGACATCATTAGTACCTGCCCCTTGCATTCTCCCTGTCGAATGCAGACAGAGCAGTCCCCTCTGTGATCTCACTCATTAGATGTGTCTGGTCAGCTATTCCCATGCTTCTTTTCAATCCCACAGCCTTTTGCAAAACAACTACTCTAGGTTGTAAACAAATCCATAATTAATGCAGCCCATGGATGTATGATTTGGTAGACCCTGAGCACTTAAAAATGCTCTTCCCTTAATGATACCCTTTTATAGGCAACCTAGAATAGCAGAGCAACCTAGAACTCCAGAGAGAATGAAGATGCTCTAAAAATCCCTTGTTCAAAGACAGGAAAAAGATGCAGCCCTGCAGAAGTTATGCAAGTCATGGTTGAGAAAAGGCCACTGTCTTTGCCCTGAGACAGTTTTTGGCTTTTTTCTCTTGTCACAAAATACCGTTCAGAATAAAGTATGTTAGTTTTGTTCATTTGTTCATATGAGTGCTGCTTGGACTGTGATTATAAACTGGAGACAAATGGTTAGATTTGTTATTTAACTGCAACTATACACGAATGCAATGAACTCCCTCACACTTCAGAGGAAAAAAAAGCCAATCTTCTTTCCTCTTCTGCTTTTCCCCTAGAATGAAGAGTGCGCATTCCTTGCAATGAATTTAACAACACATTTTCAAGATCCTTAGTATCTTCTCAACATCAAGCTGTATTTTGGCCTAACTTGCAAATGTCTAACTGGTTATCTTTTATGTCATTAGTTTCTGATAATTACTGTGAGATTATTCTCATGAGTGAAGAATTTAGCAAGTTAAGCCTTTTCTAATGTGTCCAAAAGAAGATGGATTATGATTCCTCATTTCCCAGAATTTCAAAGCAAAAGATATCTTAGAACACTTAGAGAATCAGGTTCATATTTTCCTTCTAACTTAATATTTTATATATAACATGCTACAAGCACGTACTTTCATAGTGCCTTGTATTTCATGTTTTTGTATTTGTAACCTTTGCTCTTGAAGCATAAGTCATTTTCTTGAGAAATGAAGAATGGAGGAAGTTTTCTCAGCTTTGTTACATTATCCTTCTTTGTAATTTCCTTTGTTTTCTGATATCATTCTGATGATCTTACCACAACAGACCATATTTCTTAAATATGTTTAACAACTTCTTTCTGGTTTTGCATTTGTGTTTGACTTGGAGATAACTTTCCTGTCTGTCTGAGGAGCTACATGTCTTTGGTTTGATAGTTATTTAAAATGGTTGTGTGGAAGTCCAGCCTAGAAAGAAATAGTTCAGTGAAAAGAATTTTTTTTTCCCCCATTATATCAGTATTTATACTCAGTTGTTGAGGATAATGTTACACACTGTTGTGATTATCAAACATTTGGCCTTTATTTCACTGAATACTCCTGTCAAACATCCTTATTTCCTGTTGTGTAACAAGGAAATAAAGTCAACTAAAAGATGATTAACAGCAAATCTTGAAACCATGTGGAATTGCTCATGTGGGATCAGGAACATGGGTGGGGACTGAAGGCCTGGAACATAAAGCTGATCAATAAAAAGATATTTTCCATCTGAATGTGTTTTTTTGTTTCAAGACTTTCAAAGAAGAATTTATAGGAGAAAAATATGGTGTAAGAGATACATCTGCTGTATTGAAACACAAGGTTTTTGAGGTGCCTTGAAGAAGACAAATGCTGTTTGGCTCCTTTGATAACAAAAGTTCATTGTGTAGACCGTACATCTATTAGGTATACTCTTATTCCAAGCAGTTCTACAGCTCCAAAAGCAGAGGCAGCAAGGCAGCTTTCCTAAAGCATTTAGTTACTTGCTTTGGCTGTGAAATAGAAGCACTGAAGTATTCATACATCTGCTTTTCCTTTAATACCCTCCAGACTGCAGCCAGAAACAAGACATTCAGCCATTCAACTGAGAGAGCATCGCAGCACTACTCTCTTCACTTTCCTCCAGTGGAAAAGTCTTTTATGTATGAAAGGTTGATTTCTACAGTGTTCAGATCAACTTTTGGTCAGCAAAGTGTTCAGATCAACTTTTTGAGTATGTCCCTAGACTGAAGATGAATCAAACTTATGCAGGTGTGACATGATCTGAAAACCTAAGTGTGGCTAAGACAAAACACCACCTCCAATGACAAGTTCATATGATGTCCTGAAGCTGGATGTTTTCAAAGATAAGATCCTGTTTCAGCTGCACAGACACTAAATTTCTTGCAGTATATCTTCTCTTGTTGGCTGCAGTGATGGAAATATCAGAGAAAATATGACCAGCCATGGTCCTTGGTGCTGTTTTACAGTAAAGCTTGAATGCTGAACATAGAAGACATGTCATTTAAATTAATTGTCTGAAAGTAAAGTGTTCATTCACAGGTAGTAGTCTAATCACCCATGATGGCCACTACAGGGACAGGTAATTCCCAAGTGTATTTCATTCTGCTCGGATACTTGTCTTAGAAGGAGCCTGGGCAACTTAGCCTAAATGCTCACCAATAAGACATTCCTACTTATGGCAATGTTTGTAAATAATCCCTGATAGTATTTAAAAACTTTGGCTCAGCTCTGCCTGTTTGCATTTGTGTAGTGAGAAAATTGCTGGTAGCTTTTCTGATTGGCTCCCAAACAATCTTTAAGGGTCCTAATTCTAATACACTACTTCAGGTAAACATTGTCTCTTCTGATTCCAAACTTCCTGCTACACCTGAGACCAGCTCTTCCCCCTCTCTCAACCAGTGACTGGACCACCCTATACATGTGATACCCTGAGTTCCACTCAGATGGTGCCTTCTCTAGAGAAGTTAGAGTTCTGCATTACTAAGCTACCAGACACTAGTGTCCTTGTGACACTACAGCTGCAAAAATAAAGGCCTTTTTTTTCCTTTTTAATGAGGCATTTTAAACATTGTTAGCTCAATCCTGAAAGAAGGTCTGAGAATCTTTCCCAACTCTGTAAGAATTCATTTCATTCTCCTGACCACTGAAATGTTTTCTTTTTCTCACTCAGACTATGTGACAGTTTTGCAATATTTACCAATGCACAAATAAATACGCTGTAATAACAGTCAAATGCAAAAATCCCCTTTGTGTTTGCCTATAGACCTGGATAATTCTGCCCAGTCTCCATTCTTTTGCTGAAGGAAATTCCCTTCTTGCTTATTGTGGGCCCCGTCTAATCACCCTGTTTGGAGAGAGCACACATCTGTTTTTATTCCATATGTACATTCTTACTATTATCACAGGACATCAATGCCCCACTTATTCAGGGCCCCGTCCAATCACCCTGTTTGGAGAGAGCACACAGTTATCTGTTTTTATTCCATATGTACATTCTTACTATTATCACAGGACATCAATGCCCCACTTATTCAGAGATATTAGCATGTATCAGGATATTATTGAAGGATAACAAAAGCACTGATGGATGCTTTGTAGTAATCTCTTCAAAAGACTTTCAGCCGTGTCTAGTGCATTGCACAAACCTGAAGATAACATTTAAAGTTATCACATAAAATAAAGCAGTTTTCCTCCACTTACATAGGGACTTATTTTCACTGGCCATACCCACACTGACTCTAGTGTGAGAAATCAGACTGCTGCAGTATTTTGGATGTCTTTATTGTCTAGTGTGAGAAATCAGACTGATGCTGCTGCAGTATTTTGGATGTCTTTATTTGCAGTAGTGGATACACTTCCTGATAGCAAGTCACAGTTGAGTGGCATGCTTGAATTGCCACATCCTAATGAGTAGCTGTATGTTCACACAACCATAACAGATCTAGTCCACTGCTCTGCATGCTGTGTTCCTGACCCATCTCTCTTCTGGACTTCTGCTAAACTACTTCAGAGAAATAAATGGGAAGAGAAATAATGACTACTTTTGAAGGGTTGGTTTACTGCTGATTTCGCTCTCTGAACTACAAAGTCAGGCATATGTGAGCCAGCAGAAGGGAGGCAACTCAGCTACAGAAAAGTGGAAACAGTGCTGCTCCTGTTAGTTCCTTAGATAGCAGACCAACTGAACTGTAATGTAACACTGCAATTGGATCATGTACAAACAACAGAAAATGTGTTTGCTTCAATTTACTGTGAAAAGTTGCAACGAGCAAATTCCCCTTGCTCATATCCTGTGACAGCTGGCCTTAAAAAGTGGTGACTTTATCTTCTATCTCATATCCCCTGTAGGTTTTTTACTGTACACAGAAATATCTTTCCGTAAGAAAACAATTTCTCACTCATATTCAGAAAGCCCTTTAGTGCAAACATGCAATGCTGCTGTGTTTAGTGCAGTACTGGGACAAGTCCAGAAGCAACTGTAGGAGCTATTACTCCCATTCCTCTCCTGGTTTTCTACAGCTCCAAGCTTTGCCAGAATCACTGGCTCACCTACAGGAGTAGGCCCTTTCATGTGGTACTAAATGGCACTTTAAAAAAACTTTCACACTAAATGACCAAGGATCAGTTCCTGTATTTGATTTACAAGAACTCTGGAACTTATGATTTCCTAGGAACCTTGAGTGTCAAGACAGATTCATCTACTCCATCTTACATTGGAGTAACTGACTCCTTAATATATAGCTGATACAATAAAAATGGGACAGCTTATCTACTGAAAAGCAGATGGTAATTTCTCTAAGACCGTATCTTTCAACAGGTGGAATTTGTATGGTATATTTCCTCTCATTGACTACATTCTGAACTCATAATATTTCATACACAATGAAGCATAAACTATCCTCTTCTAAAGCTGTGTAAGTGCCTAACTTCTAAAGGTCCAATTTCCAAAATCAGCTTAGGATAGGATTGTGTTCTGTATTGTCACCCACATATGTGTGCTGTAAGGTTTTGGATCTTTTCATATCACAGCCAATATAGTCTTTGAGCCTATAGCTACTATTCTCATATAGACCGTATCCTTCAACAGGTGGAATCTGTATGGTATATTTCCTGTCATTGACTACATTCTGAACTCATATTTCATACACAATGAAGCATAAACTATCCTCTTCTAAAGCTGTGTAAGTGCCTAACTTCTAAAGGTCCAATTTCCAAAATCAGCTTAGGATAGGATTGTGTTCTGTATTGTCACCCACATATGTGTGCTGTAAGGTTTTGGATCTTTTCATATCACAGCCAATATAGTCTTTGAGCCTATAGCTACTATTCTCATATATTTCCCAGTTTCTAGTACATGCTCAGTGGCTGAACACCCACTCTAGAGATTTCCAAGTTTTGCTGTCATACCTTATATGCATTGTGAAGTTGGGTTTGTACTTGGCCAATGGATTTTGCATTAAAAGTTCTCTGATGGTATGTGTCTGGAAGAAGAAAGGAAGGCCCAGAGACAGGATGACTAGATAAAAGTGTATATGAAGCCTGCAGAAGAAAGCCCATAAAGGGTGGAGGGTGAAGTGGACATGCAGAAGTGGAGGCAGGTATGACTAGAGGGGCAGGGGAGATGGACTGGAGGGAGCAAAGAGTGTGAGGCAGGAGAGGGAAGGGGGAGGTGAAGCCAGCCAGCCCAGGTGTGATTCACATTGCTGGCTCAGATCTGCTCCTCACTCAGAAACCTCCAGGTGAAATGGCAGCATGAGTGCAGAGTAACCAGGCATGTACTGCTCTGCATCCCGTGCATACACTGGCCCT